AATATTTCGCTTATTAAATGCACTACTATTGTCATTGGGATTGATAACCAAGTGTTCAAGAATAACCAAATCATCTTTTATTGGATGCTCTTCTTCGTTTCCGACACGAAACAAGAAGACATTGAATACTGGATTTGTTCTTACTTTATATTTCTTGTCATTTGATTCTTTTTCGTTCTAAGCGAGAAGTATAACTTTGGCTAGCTAGCTTTTATAGTCTTTGATCCTCTTCTTCGTTTCCGACACGAAGCAAGAAGACACTGAATATTGGATCTGTTCTTACTTTATATTTTTTGTCAGTTGAATCGTTTTCGTTCGAAGCCAGAAGTATAACTTTGGCAAGCTAGCTTTTACAGTCTTTGCTTTTGTCGAATTTGGAACTACTAGTAGTACTTGACAAAAATCACCTCCCAACCCATTAATTTTTCACCAAATGGTTTATTGATATCCAATATATCTCTAGAACTTCGGACAATTATTTCGATCGTTTGACACTTAGCCATAGGTGCTTCATCCCATATTATCAATTTTTCTTTCCTTATAAATTTAGCACCATTGTTGTGCTTTGATATATTTGTGATGGTTATTTAAGTTATTTGAAGAGGTATATAAAATCTAAAGTGGGTGGTCTCACAATAAAATCGTTGTTGGTACACCACCTGCTATTATTGCTAACAGTGTCATGCCTCTTGATATGATATTTGCAAGTAAGGCATGACAATGAAATATTAATTCGATTCCACCGGAGGCATCTACAATGAATAATCTCGTTTTACCAGAGTAGACTCTTTATAATATAGTCTTGAAATCTTATTTTTGTTTAGAATTTAGCTTTGATTGTGCTTCTTCATACACTTGTATAACATTTTGATTCTTAATAATATACTAACCTTTTTACTTTGTGTTCTAACGCTCTTTTTAAGGAATTAATTTATATAGCCTAAGAGTTTTTTTTTACTTGAATAAGAATTTTACTCATATGATGAATTTAAAAAATAATTGAATTGGATTCTCTTTTTAAATAATTAATTAAAAGATTTAATTATTTTTTAAATTATTTGGTTTTAACATAAAAAATTAATTTATTCTATGTTGATTAAAATCTTAATATTAATTCATCTCTTGTTTTGAATATTTAATTGATTCTTACAAATTATTTTTTCTCTCTTTCTCACACATTTATATTCTTAAATATTTTCTTAGCTGTTGTTTAATAATTATGTATTTTTTAATATTACACAAAAAATTGATTAAAAAATATTATTTGAGTAGAAAAATAGTTCAAATATAATATAAAAATATATTATCGTGGGAGTAGTTTTTCTCAATTTCAACTCTTTATGCAATCCATTTAATATTACTTTTAGTTTTTCTTCGTATTGGACATTATGTAATGGTAATGTATTGCCAATACGGAGGATTCTTATGAAATTAATTTTATTAAACCTTCTTACATATTTTAAATGAGAATTTAATAGACAAAATTTTATTAATTTTAAAATTTTAAATATTAAAAATTAGCATTGAAGATATTATAGTTCAAAAAATAGGTTATTGTAGTTATTTCCTTTCCCTATGAGGTCTTCCGTTTAATATTTTAGGGCTATTTCGATATATTAATATTGTATTTATAATTTTATAATAATATATGCTCTCATTTTTCTAAATGAATTTGTACAATATAATATATTCTCAAATAAATTAGTAATAGGACATTATAATATGTTTTCAAATTAAATTAGTAATATGAGTTTTTAAGAAGTCCTAAAAGTAATAGGATTACACGACTAAAGGTATTTACTTGTTCAATTTTATATGAATTAGACAACACAAAATTAATTATACTAATAGGATTCCTAAAGGTAATCATATAGGATTCCTAAAGTATAATATTATGTCTTAAAACTAATAGGATTATAGGGCTAATATCTATAATTTCGTTTATGTCCTTTTATTATGATTTATTATGCTTAATATTATAAGATTATTTTGATAAACCGACATTGTATTCATGCTTTTATAATAATAATAATAATAATAATAATAATAATAATAATAATAATAATAATAATAATAATAATAATAATAATATAA